GTTAAGCATGACATTCATGGCATCACACTATTGTCAACTCCCGGGAAACTTTTCTCCCGGAAAGGCTGAGGCAGGTAATGGATGGGAGATTCAGTCCAAACCAAGCATGCTTCCGGATGGGATATTCCTGGCCCGACCAAATTTTCCCTCTGTGTAGGATCATTCAGCAATGCTGACGAGTTCAGTTACTCTGGATGCCGCGACAGTTATCTTCTGCGATGGAACAATCCAATGAGAATTGAAAAGGAAGATCACACTAGCAACGAATGTTTTTGGAAACCATTACAACATTCGAGCTGTGAAAGGAGTTTATCTTCTCACAAAAATCCGCCACTACCTTGGCTCTGCCAGGCCAGTGTTGTTGAACGGCATGGAGCAGTCGTTCTAGCGAAGGGACAAGAATGATGAGTGAACTGCGTACAGCAGTTTTGACTTTGACGTACAGTGATGGTTAAATTGCAAGACCACGCAAGGAATCAATTTTGTTCCGGGTACAAGTGACTTCAGTAAATGTGGAAATTAAAAAATGGAGATTCGTTCTGACTGACTTGTCAGCAACTGTTTTTCCCTTCCGCCAAGTGAATAAAAGTTTCCGCAACAAATAAGACCGAGTGGCAGATAAATGACCCATACCTACTATTTGTGACACGTATGGAGCAACTTCATTGCACCTGAACTTACACAAAAATTTAGAATGCTGCTGAAACATGGTAAAAAAAATTACGTGGCATCGTATGTTTCAATCTTTGTTCTAGACTAATGAACGAACATGTTAATAAAGTGAAACAGGAATGCAGAACAAAATTATTCCAATAAAATAGTGATTCAATGCAAAGAGTACGGACAACTTAATTTATTGCTCTTGCAAATCACAGTACAAGCGCATTACCGTTTTTCTCCTTCAAAATAAAAATAGCAATTTGCACCGACGCAGAAAGACACTAGCAAAGGGTTAAAAAAGCTTTGTAAATGACAAATTTCGACTTTTCCAAATAAGTATACAATCTTTGAATAGGACAGTTTTCGGGAAATCTTTCAGCTTTTTCTGCTTGCACAATAACATAAGCCTATGCTTTCCCAAAATGCAACATTGCAACGTTTGTCTAAAGAAAGATTCAATACAGAGTAAAAAATCATATATGCCGCCGCCGACTAAGAACAAGTACAAAACTGCAGAAGAGCAAGAACCTCCAGAACCTTGTAGAAGCCCAAAAAGGAACCATAATGGAATAAACATCTTTCGTCAGCAGCTTAAGACTCCGTATGTCGAAGCAACTACATGACATACAGGGAATATCATAAAATATAGATTTAATCTAACACAACACCGAAATATTCCCAGAAAATGAATATGCCAGCGAAATACAACACATTGAGTATCGGAAAAGCAGAATTCATAAAATATATAACGTAACCTCGTAACCTCAGCTGCGAATAACCCGGAATCAGTGTAACATTCCCAGGCCTTCCATGTGCTGAAGCACGACGGCAGGAACCGGATATCTTAACAGAAAAATAGCAACATGACCGTTACTACATACCAAAATTTTGTATTGTTCTCAATGCCTCGTGGACTGTATCTAGAGTACGAAATATCTCCTCTTCTTCGCTGTCCAATTCAGATGCTCCCTGAGCACTCATATCAAACTGGTCGCGGAAACGACAGGAAGATGACGACTCGAGGCGACCGGTTGAGACAGGTCAATATCTATGGTACAAGAAACAATCAAGTACCGTCAAATTCAAACAACTTCACTGCCGTTAGAATTTTTGTCGTCATTATGAACTTTTTTCCCTGAGTTCGTTATTACGTCCAACGGAAAAACATTTTTCCGTTTACAATACTTGGACAGTTAGAGTAATAAAAAAAATGTGTCCGAAAAATTAGGGTTAAAAATATTCATTTTGATGATGTAGTAAAATTCATTCATGGTTACATTTTCATCACATATTTACCCATAGCAAGGAATAATCATTCCGTTTGGCTAATATGCACCTTCATCTAAAATTACGCAACATATTCATTGCCTGCTTGTTTCCAGTAATTTCGCTGGACCTAAACATAAGCCACATCCTAATAGTATTATAGTAACTGTCCAATGCAATGCATGAATGTAAGACATCATTACTCTGTTGAGTCGAACACGAGATCAATGGGAAGCGCAGAAGGAACTACTTTTACCCGAATGTATGCACAGGTATCACTACCATGTAAATTTTTAGTTTAACAACTGAGATAACGTTTACTACAGCTGTTGCAAATGAGGAAATCACTTTCCAATTTTTATGATTTCCATGACTTTCACCAGTAACCAAGGTGCTGAATCGATTGGAAGTCATACTCAGAGCGGAGACGTCGCTGGTTGAAATCTAGGTGGGATCACTTTAATTTCATCCTTCTGTCGTGGATAAATGAGTGCCGTTCTTTGAGAAGGAAACAGAAGATGGCCAGACTATGCCTGACACATCGACTCTGTCAAAAGTTGCACTCCAGTGTGATGATCAAAAATGGAATTAGCGCTCAACCATTAGATTCAAGAAAACAAGAGCGCCAGGAAAGCGTCGCTCACGAATGTGCAAAGACAGACATTCCAACAGTCATAAATATATCTTGCATCAATAGCAAGATAAAATCAATTTTTTGGTCAATTAGAACCGAAGATGGCGAATAACTCCTCCATATCCAGTTTTTACAACTTATTGAATGGCCTCCTTACTCACAGAAAATGATGACTGATTGCGTGGACAATGCGGTATTCTCGTTCAGAGGACAGTATAACAGATTACATGCAAAATATGCCTTTCATCTTAATTATTCTGGGCTGAAGTCATTGACAGTATACTTTTTCTGCACATCCTTAAATCCAAGAATAAACTGGCTAGAGATTCAATTCCGTGCGGCTTCATATGGCTTCAATCATTCTTTCAATTCCTGGATATGCAAGATAGCTTTTCGGAACTTTGTGTGCAACTTATTCTTGGAGCCCGTCATTGTTGCACTGATGATGTTGGTGCGAATCGCTTAGTAATTTTGCCCAGAACGATTTTGCTTATGCGAAAAATGTGCAGGACGTCTCGACTCAAGATGGCGGGCAAGCAAGCAGGCTCTAGAGACAGGCAAGAATCATGAAACCAGCTTAAGTGACCTTCGGCGGCGGAAAACCGAGCAGTATTGGCACTCTCAGTAATCGATGTAATTAGTATGTTCCCTTGCATATTTTGGTTTGCAGCAACATAACCTAGTCCGTTCACTCTAAACGTTAACTGACGAGCACATTTAACAGCGCATAATTGAAGATGTTCGCGTAGAAAGAGACCTCCGTATCTCGCGGGTTTCGGCTCTGCCGTTGTTAGTAATCGCACTCAACGGCTGATTTCATGGTTTAAGTCAGTTGGACATTCTAGCACCAAAGTGTTGCACAATCGATTGCTAGACTGCCATTTCGAACACCTTGGCAAATTTGGTCAACAAGATCCTTCAGTTTCACTGAATCGATATCGTCCGAAAGGTATCCGTCATATCTAATTCATATCACGGGGCCGAGGTTTTAAAAACGCCTACGTAGAAGTTGAATGAAACTGGAGACGATTCAGACTCTTTCGGAATACTGAAGTTGTTCCATATAGTCAGTGAGCAACACCTCCCAGCAACAGAGATTTTAGTCACTTAGTGAAGTACCCCACCAGCCAGTGCAGTCAACTTCAATCAATTTTTAATTTCTGTATGCTCCTGGCTAGGACACTGCGAGGCAAGATGCTAGGCCGACATCGGGTCAATTAAGCCCTAGCACAACATACAACAGCGTCTCCAGCAGCAATAACTCCGTGCAGCGGGCAACAGCTTTCAAAATGGCAGACCTTTCATGAATACAAACTAAAAACAATCTTTTTCGCCTTTCAGCTGTTTTACGAGGATTGGTTTCATCAGAGCTTCGAAGACCTTGAGCAATAAGGACGACATTACTGGTTGCCTCTGAGGGCTATTTAGGCAGGTCGCGATTATACAGTATTTGAGCATCTTAAGTACCAGATGCAACTATAGGAATGAGACTGCGAAAGGCGTCGTTGAACCTATTTTCATTCTTCAATATGTGAATGTATATTGCGCCTGTAGGTGATGGATCGGGCACATACGCACCACATGAACACGAAAAGTGACTGAATTTTTTACACAGGTATGCACATCCTTTAACCACTACGCTTACAATGATGCAGTTGTGAGTTCATTATCTTTTCAGAAAAATCTCTTGCTTACACTGTTAATTAGGCA